CATTCCAGCAAATTTCAGATTACTCCTGCCCAGGATGGAGCCGAGTGGGCGGCTACAGGGCTAGGAAAGGGTCCAAGGGTCTCAGAAGCTGGGGTCTCCCAACACCGGGAAACTCCCACACTCCTGCCTTTGGGCTTTCTCCCCACGTGCCCCACATGTGCCTTCCCACTGCATCTCCACATCACCCAGCAGCAGCCCTAGCCCCATCAACCCCAAGTACCTTTCTCCTCCTTGTCGCGCCCTTAGCACCTGGCACAGCTTCACACACCAGACTGATGGCTTCCCTGGGGAAAGAGGGGGTACTCAGACCCAGAGCCTGTCTCCCATTCAGCTGGGGCTGCCACAGAGCAGGGGGGAGGGGAAGGCCCGGCCAGACTCCAGGGGCACTCCAGGCTCTTTGTCGCGGTGGATTGAATTAAGGGCCTTTAATATTTGATGACACTGAGAAGCCGCTTCCTGGCTGATTGGGTTAGGGCCTCAATGGGTCTGGCCCCGCCCCCTTCCAGCTACCAAATGTCCCACTCATTCCCGAAGACAGCAGTAACCTTCCATCTATCCCCATTTTCTACACAAGCTCCAGCTGCCAACTGCCTCTGCCACCTCCCCCACAGCCCCCAAGGCTAGATAAGTAGGCAAGATCCAGGCCAGAGTTGCAGCTTTTCATTCAGACTTAGCCTCATTCCCCTAACTTCCTCTCTATCCCCTTCACCACCCAAAGATAAACCATCACTAGCACCAACCGACCCACTCCCCTCCTCCTCCCCTAATCTAATCCCAGGACTCCCACACTCTGCCCCCTCCCCACTAACCTGGTGACCTGAGTCCGGGTGTTGAAGTCTAGGGCACGCATTGACTGCAGGACCTCCACACAGCCCATGTACTGAGGGGAGGGATGGGAGGATAACAAGTCAGCCGCCTCCCTCACCCCCTTCACAAAGGGCCCTGGGCTTTTCCCTATGTGGTCCTTAAGGGAAGTGAAGATGCAGAAGTTCTGCCTACTTCTTGTGGCTACATCCTACAACATCCCACAGCATGCAAGACAACAGGGCATGAGAAGGAAAGAGCAAGCTAGGAGGACCTCATGCATCTGGGGAGAGAAGCTGGAAAGAAGAGACAGGCATTGGGTGGGATGGAGTGACAGCTCCAGAAAGGGAGAGGAGACTGGGGGATAATCAAGAATCACTCATTCCAACACTTACTAAGGGCCTTGGAGGTGCTGCGCATTGTGCTAAGCATGGCAGGGTGGGGTTGGGCAAATCACAAGAGGGAAGGGGGCCAAGCAGAGCTAGAAGGGAAGGGGCTACAGAATCAGAGTAAGGGCACGAAAGGTTTAAGAACAGGGCACTGAAACCAAGGGAGTTGCTAGGATAGAGCAAGAAAAAAAGAGACTCCAACAGAGCTGGAGCGAACAGAGGTCTGTCTGAGAGGATATTCACTCACCCGAACCAAGTAGGAAACCCCAGGTCCCATGACTTTGTCGTTGGGATGCAGCCAGCCCCGCGTGGGCTTATTGACAAAGCTCCCGTGGCGGGTCCACTCCTCGCCCCCCAGCTGGCCCCCTTCCACCCGAGTCCTGCGCCCGCCGCCTCCACTCAGCTTGTTCATGTCCTGGAGGAGGGGCAGGGGGCCTGAGTCCAGCATGGCTGCCCCTGCACTCCCTTCCCCATCCTCGGCTGCCCTTCCTGGCTCCCCCTTAGGCCCCGGGCGCCCCCCAGCCGGGTTGGCCAGTTTCAGGTTGCTCATCCGGGGGAAGAAGGAGCACAGAGTGGTGGGACTCTCATCCCCAGGCAGAGGTGGCAGGATGGGCCCCAGGGACGAGGCTGATGGGGAAGGCAGCTCCTCCGGTGGGGTGGACCCTGAAGCCCCCTCCTCCAGCGATGACAAAGACTCATTCCGAAGTGGGTTGTACTTGGGCTTGGGGGGCAGGAGATCCATGGCTGGAGGCAGAGGAAGGCTGCTGCCCAGCCCGGCCCCCCTGCCAGTCAGGGCAAGGGGGCCAGGCAGAGGGCATCCCCAAGCCCTTGGCCTAATTGGACCTCTATAGCCCAGGGATCTCAAGAGTCCTGGGGAGGGAGAGGGACTAGTGGCTCCAGCTCCCCCTGCTCAGACTTGGACAGTTTCAGGCCCCATCCCCGCCCAGCGTGGAGCCTCTTCTTTGGCGGAGTGGAGAACAGGCTGGACCTAGAGCCGCCTGGCTCCTCCCCAGGGGCGGGGAGCTGAGGGGACAGACCAATCCCGAGGACAGTGCTGACTCACAGGCTCCGAGGGGCTGAGCCCCCAGCACTACCCCAACCTGGACTTCTGGCTGGGGTAGAGGTATCCAATACTCCCTGCCCCCATACAAACAGCTAGTAATCTGGGGTGGAGTAAAGTGGGGGTGGGAGGGAAGGATGGAAGACTGAGAAGGAAAGGAGGGAGATAAGGGGAGGTCTGGATGAATCCAAACCGGACACGGGCAGGCCAAAGGGTACAGGAAGCTGAGGGAGGGTAGTGGGAATGAGGGAGGAAACAGAGGCAGCTAGGGGTGGGAAAGGGAGGGGACCCCTGAGCTCAGCATTTCCCTTCTGGTCCTGGCTGAAAACAAATTCCCTCACCCTCCAGCCCAGGCCACCCATGACCACCACGACAGAGTGGGGTTCAACAGCTGTGGACTTGCAGCTAAAGAAATGCAGAAAGGAAGGAAGCAGTCCCAGTGGGGGCAGAAAGGGGCCAAGAGGAACATCAAGGCTGGGAAAGTAAGGGAGATAAAGTCCAACCTGGGTGGTGGGTGCATCAAGGAGCCACCAGGAAGGAGCTGGAGCACAGGAGTGGGTTGGTGGAGCCCCGTTCTCTATGCATGGCATCTACCATGCCAAAGAGCAGCAGCTCATGGCCAGGCACTCTTCTGCCCCTCTTCCACAGGCCTAGTTAGTAAAGCAAGCTGTCAAAGGTGGGAGGCAGGCCAGGGAACTGGCACTAAGGTCTCCTCCCCTTATGCTCACACCCCTCCTCTTGTGGTGACTGGGGAGCGTGTAGGTTTTCACCATGGAGCACAGTGCCCCTTACACCAGCAGGGAGTCTGGCTGGAAGAGGTGGGAGAATAAAACATTTCTCCAAAAGCAGTCAGGGCTACAAGCCATAAAGGGATAGAGAGGCCAGAAGACACATCTGTGCTAAGTACAGGAGAGAGGGGTGCCAGGAGAAGATGGTCTGAGGCTGGAAACAGGGAACAGCGTCAAACCCATTCCATCCACCCACAGCTTCCTGCCACAGCTCTGCTTGAGGGGGGGCCATGGAGGAAGTTGTAAAGTTACCAAAAGGTTGTAGAAGACTATCTACCCCTCAGGCTCACCTAGGAATTATTTACTCTTATATTTACTTAAGATAAAAAGATGCAGATAATATATTATTGTGATCAGCATAGTAGCGCTTAAAACGTGTCAGATACTGCGCTAAAGTCTTTCAACCTCTCCTTATTCCTCATTCGAGGAGAGCTTTGTCACTCCATCCAGCACTCCTGAGAAGGAATTCTGTTACCGCATTTCCTAAGGTCATAGCGCTCAGGCATAGAATAAGGAAAGGATTCTGCCATAGCCTCACAGCCTGACACATTCCAGGATGTCACCTTTACAGCTGGGCGTTGGTGGGGAGCCTGCAGGATCCAGAGGCAAGGACCAACAGGTGTGGGCATTTGAAATAAAGGAAGTAGGGCTCTTCAAATTTGCAAAGGAAGAAAGAATGCCTACTGGGAGTCCGGGTGACGGGAGTGGGGGAGAAACTGCCTGTGGCTGCTCAGCCCAGCAGGGAGGGGAGGCAAGTAGCAGGAAATGGCGAAGGCCTCAGGAATGTTTCCAGAAGGGAAAGCTTGGCAAACGGGGCCAGGAGGAATGCCCAGACAGGAGTTCTGGTTAGGGAGAGGGGAAGAGCCAGAAAAGTGGTGGGGGCTGCGGAGTCCCTTTAAAAAAATCAAACAGCAGAAAGGACACTGTCCCATACACCCACTCCAAGCGACCGTTTTCTAGTGGTAGAAAACTTTTTTACTCCTTTCACACCCACGTCACACACCAACAAATGTATGGCCCTACCCTTCTCCGGACGAACAGGTATGAGACATAACAGCTATTTCTGGGGTGGAGTCGGTCTCGGCAAGGGAAACTCAGTAGAGCTGGAAATCTATGAACAAGTCTTCTCTCCCACTCTTGTGCCAAACCCCCAATCCAGCCCCTTCAAGTAGGTCCACACTTGGAATGGGGTAAGGGACAGAAAAAGAGCTGCCTCTAATCTCACACCTCAGAGCCAGAGATGGGAAATTTGACTTCCCATCGCTGGAGCATGAGAGCTCTGGAAAACTGAATCCAAAGTCCAAAAGAGAAAAAAAGACAGGGAAATGTAAGCAGGTGGCGTTTCTAGGCTTGAAGACAAAGCTCCTCAGGTGATGACCTGGGTCTCACAAAGATAAAACTCCTGGTGGGACGTGGTCCCCGAGAATGCGTGCCACACACTTCCAGGAGGCCAGGCTTCTGCACAATCAGACGTGGGTTAGGGGGCGTGGCTTCGAAAGGGGCGGCTCCCCTAGAGAGGCGTGGCTTCGCGAATTCGAAGAGTTCTTCGAGGGGTAGGGCTCTGCCCTTTCGGGAGATAGGCTTTTGAAAGAAGGAGCGTAGAGTCGTTGCGAGGAGGCGGAGTTTTGGGGAATTGGAAGGACTAACAGGGTTTCTTGCAGTAGCGCTTGGAAGCATGTCTGGGGAGTGGGANGCTGGGAACAGAAAAGTCCACCTAGCTGGGGAAGAGTGGTGGCATGAGGGTCCCAGACTACAGTTCCACCACAAGCACATGAAGGAAGAGCTGCCCCTGCCGCAGAAAGGCAGGGCCTCGACAGACCTTCCTGATGGCCACAGGAAACTGCAGAATAGCAGGAAGTGGGAAGCAGGGGCAAACAGGTTATTTCCTTCCCTGATCTTCTCTGAGCTGGAGTATCGGAAGGGCAGACCCACTTTCCCGTTCTCATGGGTGCCCAGGGGCTGCCCCACACCCTCCTCATCCGCTCACCTGTCATGGGGGGTGACCAGCTTGGGTGGGTTCCTGAGGTATTGTTTGAAGCGCAACTCAAAGGCCTGGCCAATGGTGCTGATGACATCCTGAGCAAGCCCTTCGGGACACTCCAGAATGTGGCAGGCTGGGGGCACAGCAGAGTGTCAGTGGGTTGCCAGGAGGGGGTGGGGACAGGGGTCGTGTCTCCCCCGCAGGGGCCTCTGCTTAGCTCCCTGGCTCCTGCTCACGTGCCTCACAGTTGGCACCACCCAGTGCTCCCAGTGCCTCACCTCTCTGGTTCACCGGGTCTTTGGCAACATATGCGACATACTCGGCTGTGTCCTGAGGTGGACAGAGTCAGAAGAGGCCATTCAGCTACATTTCATAGCCCCACCTCACTCCTGACCCCTAAAACCCAGTCCTTTTCAGCACCACATCAATCCTAGCATGCCCGCTTCTCTAGCCACCCGCAAGCCCCTCCTTTTCCCACCACCTCTTTTCTGTTCCCCAACTCACCGGATCCCCGCCGGATGCAAACGAGATAGATTGCATGTGGTGGTTGGCAATGATCTGAGAGTTAGTGCAGGGGATGGAGGAGGGAGGGAATGACATGTGTCAGACAGCTTCACTGCCCACCTGAGCGTCCCCCATCCCTGGCCCAGAACGCCGAAATCTCAGTCTCATCCTTTCAGCTTCTTATCCACACTTTCCTCATCTCCTCCTTCCCTACTGTCCCTCATGATCAGTCCCCGCTTAGCCCTCCCAGTGGTGTTGCTGGCCTCCCTGCCCACCCCACCAACCTGTTTGCAGTCTGCGGCCATGAGGTTGAGGCTGCTGGTGGAGACGGTCAGAGTGATTGGCATTCCAGCAAATTTCAGATTACTCCTGCCCAGGATGGAGCCGAGTGGGCGGCTACAGGGCTAGGAAAGGGTCCAAGGGTCTCAGAAGCTGGGGTCTCCCAACACCGGGAAACTCCCACACTCCTGCCTTTGGGCTTTCTCCCCACGTGCCCCACATGTGCCTTCCCACTGCATCTCCACATCACCCAGCAGCAGCCCTAGCCCCATCAACCCCAAGTACCTTTCTCCTCCTTGTCGCGCCCTTAGCACCTGGCACAGCTTCACACACCAGACTGATGGCTTCCCTGGGGAAAGAGGGGGTACTCAGACCCAGAGCCTGTCTCCCATTCAGCTGGGGCTGCCACAGAGCAGGGGGGAGGGGAAGGCCCGGCCAGACTCCAGGGGCACTCCAGGCTCTTTGTCGCGGTGGATTGAATTAAGGGCCTTTAATATTTGATGACACTGAGAAGCCGCTTCCTGGCTGATTGGGTTAGGGCCTCAATGGGTCTGGCCCCGCCCCCTTCCAGCTACCAAATGTCCCACTCATTCCCGAAGACAGCAGTAACCTTCCATCTATCCCCATTTTCTACACAAGCTCCAGCTGCCAACTGCCTCTGCCACCTCCCCCACAGCCCCCAAGGCTAGATAAGTAGGCAAGATCCAGGCCAGAGTTGCAGCTTTTCATTCAGACTTAGCCTCATTCCCCTAACTTCCTCTCTATCCCCTTCACCACCCAAAGATAAAACCATCACTAGCACCAACCGACCCACTCCCCTCCTCCTCCCCTAATCTAATCCCAGGACTCCCACACTCTGCCCCCTCCCCACTAACCTGGTGACCTGAGTCCGGGTGTTGAAGTCTAGGGCACGCATTGACTGCAGGACCTCCACACAGCCCATGTACTGAGGGGAGGGATGGGAGGATAACAAGTCAGCCGCCTCCCTCACCCCCTTCACAAAGGGCCCTGGGCTTTTCCCTATGTGGTCCTTAAGGGAAGTGAAGATGCAGAAGTTCTGCCTACTTCTTGTGGCTACATCCTACAACATCCCACAGCATGCAAGACAACAGGGCATGAGAAGGAAAGAGCAAGCTAGGAGGACCTCATGCATCTGGGGAGAGAAGCTGGAAAGAAGAGACAGGCATTGGGTGGGATGGAGTGACAGCTCCAGAAAGGGAGAGGAGACTGGGGGATAATCAAGAATCACTCATTCCAACACTTACTAAGGGCCTTGGAGGTGCTGCGCATTGTGCTAAGCATGGCAGGGTGGGGTTGGGCAAATCACAAGAGGGAAGGGGGCCAAGCAGAGCTAGAAGGGAAGGGGCTACAGAATCAGAGTAAGGGCACGAAAGGTTTAAGAACAGGGCACTGAAACCAAGGGAGTTGCTAGGATAGAGCAAGAAAAAAAGAGACTCCAACAGAGCTGGAGCGAACAGAGGTCTGTCTGAGAGGATATTCACTCACCCGAACCAAGTAGGAAACCCCAGGTCCCATGACTTTGTCGTTGGGATGCAGCCAGCCCCGCGTGGGCTTATTGACAAAGCTCCCGTGGCGGGTCCACTCCTCGCCCCCCAGCTGGCCCCCTTCCACCCGAGTCCTGCGCCCGCCGCCTCCACTCAGCTTGTTCATGTCCTGGAGGAGGGGCAGGGGGCCTGAGTCCAGCATGGCTGCCCCTGCACTCCCTTCCCCATCCTCGGCTGCCCTTCCTGGCTCCCCCTTAGGCCCCGGGCGCCCCCCAGCCGGGTTGGCCAGTTTCAGGTTGCTCATCCGGGGGAAGAAGGAGCACAGAGTGGTGGGACTCTCATCCCCAGGCAGAGGTGGCAGGATGGGCCCCAGGGACGAGGCTGATGGGGAAGGCAGCTCCTCCGGTGGGGTGGACCCTGAAGCCCCCTCCTCCAGCGATGACAAAGACTCATTCCGAAGTGGGTTGTACTTGGGCTTGGGGGGCAGGAGATCCATGGCTGGAGGCAGAGGAAGGCTGCTGCCCAGCCCGGCCCCCCTGCCAGTCAGGGCAAGGGGGCCAGGCAGAGGGCATCCCCAAGCCCTTGGCCTAATTGGACCTCTATAGCCCAGGGATCTCAAGAGTCCTGGGGAGGGAGAGGGACTAGTGGCTCCAGCTCCCCCTGCTCAGACTTGGACAGTTTCAGGCCCCATCCCCGCCCAGCGTGGAGCCTCTTCTTTGGCGGAGTGGAGAACAGGCTGGACCTAGAGCCGCCTGGCTCCTCCCCAGGGGCGGGGAGCTGAGGGGACAGACCAATCCCGAGGACAGTGCTGACTCACAGGCTCCGAGGGGCTGAGCCCCCAGCACTACCCCAACCTGGACTTCTGGCTGGGGTAGAGGTATCCAATACTCCCTGCCCCCATACAAACAGCTAGTAATCTGGGGTGGAGTAAAGTGGGGGTGGGAGGGAAGGATGGAAGACTGAGAAGGAAAGGAGGGAGATAAGGGGAGGTCTGGATGAATCCAAACCGGACACGGGCAGGCCAAAGGGTACAGGAAGCTGAGGGAGGGTAGTGGGAATGAGGGAGGAAACAGAGGCAGCTAGGGGTGGGAAAGGGAGGGGACCCCTGAGCTCAGCATTTCCCTTCTGGTCCTGGCTGAAAACAAATTCCCTCACCCTCCAGCCCAGGCCACCCATGACCACCACGACAGAGTGGGGTTCAACAGCTGTGGACTTGCAGCTAAAGAAATGCAGAAAGGAAGGAAGCAGTCCCAGTGGGGGCAGAAAGGGGCCAAGAGGAACATCAAGGCTGGGAAAGTAAGGGAGATAAAGTCCAACCTGGGTGGTGGGTGCATCAAGGAGCCACCAGGAAGGAGCTGGAGCACAGGAGTGGGTTGGTGGAGCCCCGTTCTCTATGCATGGCATCTACCATGCCAAAGAGCAGCAGCTCATGGCCAGGCACTCTTCTGCCCCTCTTCCACAGGCCTAGTTAGTAAAGCAAGCTGTCAAAGGTGGGAGGCAGGCCAGGGAACTGGCACTAAGGTCTCCTCCCCTTATGCTCACACCCCTCCTCTTGTGGTGACTGGGGAGCGTGTAGGTTTTCACCATGGAGCACAGTGCCCCTTACACCAGCAGGGAGTCTGGCTGGAAGAGGTGGGAGAATAAAACATTTCTCCAAAAGCAGTCAGGGCTACAAGCCATAAAGGGATAGAGAGGCCAGAAGACACATCTGTGCTAAGTACAGGAGAGAGGGGTGCCAGGAGAAGATGGTCTGAGGCTGGAAACAGGGAACAGCGTCAAACCCATTCCATCCACCCACAGCTTCCTGCCACAGCTCTGCTTGAGGGGGGGCCATGGAGGAAGTTGTAAAGTTACCAAAAGGTTGTAGAAGACTATCTACCCCTCAGGCTCACCTAGGAATTATTTACTCTTATATTTACTTAAGATAAAAAGATGCAGATAATATATTATTGTGATCAGCATAGTAGCGCTTAAAACGTGTCAGATACTGCGCTAAAGTCTTTCAACCTCTCCTTATTCCTCATTCGAGGAGAGCTTTGTCACTCCATCCAGCACTCCTGAGAAGGAATTCTGTTACCGCATTTCCTAAGGTCATAGCGCTCAGGCATAGAATAAGGAAAGGATTCTGCCATAGCCTCACAGCCTGACACATTCCAGGATGTCACCTTTACAGCTGGGCGTTGGTGGGGAGCCTGCAGGATCCAGAGGCAAGGACCAACAGGTGTGGGCATTTGAAATAAAGGAAGTAGGGCTCTTCAAATTTGCAAAGGAAGAAAGAATGCCTACTGGGAGTCCGGGTGACGGGAGTGGGGGAGAAACTGCCTGTGGCTGCTCAGCCCAGCAGGGAGGGGAGGCAAGTAGCAGGAAATGGCGAAGGCCTCAGGAATGTTTCCAGAAGGGAAAGCTTGGCAAACGGGGCCAGGAGGAATGCCCAGACAGGAGTTCTGGTTAGGGAGAGGGGAAGAGCCAGAAAAGTGGTGGGGGCTGCGGAGTCCCTTTAAAAAAATCAAACAGCAGAAAGGACACTGTCCCATACACCCACTCCAAGCGACCGTTTTCTAGTGGTAGAAAACTTTTTTACTCCTTTCACACCCACGTCACACACCAACAAATGTATGGCCCTACCCTTCTCCGGACGAACAGGTATGAGACATAACAGCTATTTCTGGGGTGGAGTCGGTCTCGGCAAGGGAAACTCAGTAGAGCTGGAAATCTATGAACAAGTCTTCTCTCCCACTCTTGTGCCAAACCCCCAATCCAGCCCCTTCAAGTAGGTCCACACTTGGAATGGGGTAAGGGACAGAAAAAGAGCTGCCTCTAATCTCACACCTCAGAGCCAGAGACGGGAAATTTGACTTCCCATCGCTGGAGCATGAGAGCTCTGGAAAACTGAATCCAAAGTCCAAAAGAGAAAAAAAGACAGGGAAATGTAAGCAGGTGGCGTTTCTAGGCTTGAAGACAAAGCTCCTCAGGTGATGACCTGGGTCTCACAAAGATAAAACTCCTGGTGGGACGTGGTCCCCGAGAATGCGTGCCACACACTTCCAGGAGGCCAGGCTTCTGCACAATCAGACGTGGGTTAGGGGGCGTGGCTTCGAAAGGGGCGGCTCCCCTAGAGAGGCGTGGCTTCGCGAATTCGAAGAGTTCTTCGAGGGGTAGGGCTCTGCCCTTTCGGGAGATAGGCTTTTGAAAGAAGGAGCGTAGAGTCGTTGCGAGGAGGCGGAGTTTTGGGGAATTGGAAGGACTAACAGGGTTTCTTGCAGTAGCGCTTGGAAGCATGTCTGGGGAGTGGGACTTCCAGGAAAGCTGGCCGACAGGTGGGGTCGGGACAATTAAAAAAAAAAGTCGGGGTTCGGGGAGCCCCTGAAGTTGGGAGGTGGGACTTCCGGGGAGAGGGTCGCAGGGGGCGGGACTTATAAAATGAAGACCGGAAGTAAGGTCCCGGGAGAGGGGTTCCGGGGTGGAGGGGTGGGTCACCTAAGGAGGAAAAAAGTCCCAACTCACCAGGACCTCATGGAGTCTCCACACCGCACCGCCGGCCGATTTGGTTCCGGATCACGCCAGTGCCTCCTTAGCTTGCCGCTCCAACTTTCTGCCCTAGCCTGGCCTCCCTGAAGAAACTTTATTGTACTCACTTCCGGCCTCACTAACCCCTGACCCTCTACCTCACCGTCCCTCTTCCTACCCACTTTGCGGAATCAGCCAATGGCAGCGGGTGAATGCTCACAGGAGTAGAGCTAGCCAATAAGAGGCCTAATTTTTACCTAAACTCGTTCTAAAGATATGTAAGACTTGCACGCCAATAAATACTCGAGGAAAAGCAAATCCAAGCCAATCAAAGGCTTGAAGATGGATTTGTCCCGCCTTAAGCTAAAGGGACCAATAGGAACCGCAGGCGGTGTGTTTGAAAGCGAGGCCAAAGAGGGTGGGAGCGCGTGCTGCTGGGAGTTTGGAGGTTGGCGGCGCGGGGCTGACGGTCCTCAGGCAGAGCGATCATGTCGCACAAACAAATTTACTATTCGGACAAATACGACGACGAGGAGTTCGAGTACCGGTTAGTGCCGGCGCGGGGGCCATAAGGAGGTCGTGAACTTTGACAAGTGAGGGTACGAGGAATTAGTAAAAGGGAATGAAACCGCAGAGTCAGCGCATGCGCAGAAGAGTAACAGGGCGGGCGTGAGCGTAAAGCGCATGCGTGAAGGGTTGGCGGTGCTGGTAAAAGAAACAAAGTGGTAGCAAATTTGGTGTGAACTGTTTTGGGAGGAGGCATAGGTGGACGTTGTTAAAATGCTGACCACCTTCACTCTTGCGGGGTTCTGGATCATTCTCTCACCTTTACTGACCAAGTTGAACTTGCCTTCATGAGACTGTATTTTGGCAACACCACAGAACCATCGAGCCTACTGGGAAAGGATGGCAAAGGGCGGAGCTCAAGTTTTCCTCCCGTCTTCCCTGCAAGGGAAGCTCTGAGAGCGCTCGAGTGTTGCTAATTAATTCATGGAAAAGGGCCGTAGTTGTCTGGCTTGTTTTAGGAAGGGGGCCTTGAGGAACTGGAGTGAAATAAAACTAGCCAGAAACATTGAGACAAGACTTGAATGGACCTGACAGGTGCCCGTCAGATAACTGAAGTTGAATTTCAATTTTCGAAGGGCATCTATTTGGGAAACAATTATAGAGTACTCACAGGTTTCAGGTGTTGTGTTAAAGTGCAAGGATAAGCCATGGTCTCTGCTTTCCAACCCTAAAAATCTGTGAAAATACTGACAAGACTTCAGAAAGAAGGTGATGGCTGGTATAATAATAGAGATACACAGTCTGTTATGGTATACATAGGATTTGCAAAGGATGGTAAAGAAAGGAGTCCCTACAGAGTTTGCATTTGATAAAGTATAAATCCATAATTCTAGGTTGGAAAATAAGACAATGGATTCTACAAATGTTGACATTCTACTAATCTGTATTAAGTGAAATACTAAACACAACTTCCTAGTTTATTTCTTGTCCTCTGCATTGAAAAAGGTAAAATAGAAACTTGGTTTTCTTGTGTTTTTTTCTCCAGCCTAGTGCAGGGCTCTGAGCCCTCTGGAAAACTGTGCTGACAAATAACCATTGTTGAGCCAATCTTTGTGCCAAAGGCTTGGTAGAATATAAGCTATTTTCAGATATTTAGACTAGAATTATCTCTTTGGAAAAAATCTGTTACTAGCACAGAGAACATTTAGTACATTGTCACTGAGCATGATGAAGTCTATCCGAGTTAGCCCAATTCAAGTCAAGAATAGTCATTTCTTTGCCACAAAAGGAGACTTAACCTTGGGTTGGAAAGCATGGTGTTTCCCAAAGGAGGTCTTATGGTACATGAGAGTTAGGAAAATGAAATTGAGTAAATACTTCAAAAAAATTTTTTTTTCTTTCCCTTGTAGTAGCTCTTCCACACAGCACTCCATAACAGGACTTTCTTCTCTACAAAATCACTTTTTTCCCTTCCTTACCAATCCTGTTGAAAACCATCTTTAATTATTAACACTATGTGTGTCTTGGGCCCGAGTGTATTGTTTTTGGGTAGTCAACTAGAAGACTAAGTTCCAGAAAGGCATAAGCAATATTTCAACAGTGCCTGGCATTAGGTGCTCATTTACCTGAGTTATTTATTAATTTATACTTTTTAGTATACTTTTGTGAGGAGTCATTTAACTCAGCCTTTATTTCTAGCTGTCTCTACCCCACAATGAGAGGACATAAACTCCCTGCTATCAGAAATCTGTTTCTCTTTTCTTCCCTCTCTTAGCTTCTTACACAGGCAGGCACTTGTCTCAGTCTGTACCCAATACTGACATGAATTCCCCACCTTTCCCTGTTTCTGTTACAGGCATGTCATGTTGCCCAAGGACATAGCCAAGCTGGTCCCTAAATCCCATTTGATGTCTGAATCTGAATGGAGGAATCTTGGTGTTCAGCAGAGTCAGGGATGGGTCCATTATATGATCCATGAACCAGGTCAGTGCACTGGCTGAAAGCAGCCATGTAGGACTGCATCACTGAGGGAAAGAAAGGAGTAAGATGATACAACCCAAAGAAACAGGGGGGAAAGGTGGAGGTAGTTTACTGGTTCTTTACCCCCCAGCCATCTAGAAAAATTGGGAGTGATCCAAAATAAGAATAAGAGTAAAGTATCTGGGAAGTTCAGAGACAAGCTGTCACTGAAAAACCTCCTTTAATTCTCTGATTCAGTCAAAGGGTACTTTCTTTAAGGCCACGTATACCCTGGTAGAGGTTACGGTCTCTGCTTCATTCTCCATCAGAAAGCGAATTCTTGGATGTGTTCCAAACAAGCCAAGGAAACTATATTTCTTGGTAAGACACCAGACACCAAGCTGCCAGGCAAAACTAATAAAGGACACCCTGAGGCTGTATAAACATAGCAAAAAGACTGATATTAGCAATTCTGTACTTGGCAGACAGGCCAGGCTTTTGGGTCTGCTTCCAAGGCCATATGCTTGTCTTAATTTAGTTACAAAGATCTGAGTGGGTGATCACAGGCAAGTGGGAGTGGAATTCAGTATAGGTTGTGCATAGAATGGTGTGAGCTTGTCTCTTAGATTTCACTCACTCTTTCAGAACCTCACATCTTGCTGTTCCGGCGGCCACTGCCCAAGAAGCCAAAGAAATGAAGCTGGCAAGCCACCTTTCAGCCTCAAGCTTTACACAGCTGTCCTCGCTTGCCGACATCTTTCTAATAACATTATTATGTTGCCTTCTTGTTTCTCACTTTGATATTTAAAGAATGTTCAATACACTGTTTGAATGTGCTGATGACTTCTTTGCTTCTTGAGCAGAGCCAACAGCACCACAGCCCAGCCAAATGAGTGTTCTTTGGGCTGCAGCTCAGCTGAGTGTCATCCCAGAAGCCATGGTGAGCTCTGTACCCAGCAGAACACACTTGGCAGATGGAAGAAGCATCTGAGAATAAGACCATGGCTGTTAACAGGGATTGTGTTGACTTGCTGGTTTTTTCCTGCCAGGTGTTGTATATATGGTGATTTGTTTCAATGTATTGGAAGCTTTCCATTTTATCCAAGAAATCTGTTCCACATTATGAGCCTTGATTAAAGAGGAAATTTTTATAATGTAATTCTCTAATTGTATATATTATTTCCCCCCTCTCAGAGTGGGCATCACATTTAGTATTCTGGTTCTAATTATATGCCCTTCAGTTAGATGGTGAGGCTTAGGTCTTTGCCGCTAATGAGGTTTATTTCAACATTTAGGTAACTGATTTTTAATCTACTTTAAGCAGACTTGCTGTCCAACATCTACTGAAAGATATTTTGCTCTAACCACTAGCCAAAGATAGAGGTTATATGGGGACAACATCATCTCATCAAAACAAATGAACTGTTTCCTATAATCAGGGATGTTGCCTTTAACATAATCTCGATATTTGAAGAACACGTGACTGGGAAGAGAGGAGGCTATCTGCCAGAGTCTACTAGTATGATCTGCTTCCTGCCCCGCCTAAGTAAGGCTCAGGCACACCTAGGACCTGTTTACTGTGCACCATCAGTTGGGGCATGTTTTTAGTGATTCTCATTTTGGCTGAGCATTGGATTCACCTGGGTAGCTTTCCAAGCACTGATGCCTACTCATTCCTTAGAGATGTTGATTTAATTGGTCTGGGGTGTGGCCTCCATGTGGGGATTTCAAGCATTGTTACGCAGGTAGAGCACTAACCTTTGAGAAAACAGGTGTAAGCTGTAGCTGTTTAAGAAAACATTTCGCCAAGTAACTACCCTCTGCTTTAAAAAATAACAGTAGTGCTAAGTAAGTGAGATTACCCTCCCCCCCTTATGTCATATTTATTCCTATAGCAGTAGTTCAAGTGTGGCCCCTTAAGAGAAAGCATCGTCACCCGACTTGTTAGAAATGCCAATTATTGTACTCCACCCAGACCTACTGAGTCAGAAACTGAGGGCTGGATCCGGCAACATTTTAAGTTATCTGATTCTGGTGCACGCTTAAGCCTAAGAACCCACTGGTAAAGTTAATGAACCAGAGCTGATGTGGGGTTTTGGTGGTGGTGGAGGTATCAATATCACCATTATTACTAATAAAGGTAATGAAGCACATGACAAGTCATTAAGGCAAGGATTGCCTCTTTAAAAATCTTTAGAGCTGAGGTTCTTTTAATCGGAAAAAAAAACAGGGTTTACTACTTGAGAAAGAATGGCCCGGAAGCCTGGCTCTGCCTTTCACTTTAGTGTTTTGTAGTGGTTGTGTGGCATCCTTTCACCCTTCCGAGCCTGTTGCCCATCTGTAAAATGGACATCATATCTAAAGAGGGTTTTTAGGAGAGTAAAATGAGGCCAGGTGTTGTTCAGCAGTCCTCCAAATGATGAAAGGATTTTAGACCTTTATTACAGAGAACAGTACCACAGACGAGTAACACCAGCGTGACTTGACAGATCAAATGCAGATCTCAAGCCCCACCCTAAGCCTCCTGAATCGGGTAGATTTAATGAGCACATTAAAAATGTCCCCAGATGATTAGTGTGAACATTATCGGTTAAGAAGAACTTTTAGACCAAAGGCAACTGAAATGAGTAAGTTAGGATGTGAGAATCCAAAGTGGGCACATGGCATCCCCCTAGTCGCTGCCCTTGCTTGCACCTACGAAACCAGTAATTGGTAGTGATATTTAAGCACTGTTCGGAGCAAGGTGAGGCAAGACTTGTCAAGAGGGTTAATTAGCTTTATCGTTTATAATAGAGAAATGGAAGTGACACACACCAAAAGCTCACCTCAAGGTGATTGTTCGCCTTCCTACCTCAAGGGCAAAGCTGATAATTACTCTTGGGTGTCCCTCCAACTTCCATCGGCTACAGTGTAAAATCCCTGACACCAGTACCAACCCCTGACCCCTTAGCCTAGAATAAGTCATGGTTAATGAACACAGCATATACCTACAATAATTTGAATTGAGAACGGAGGTTAGAGTCATGCCTCCCTTTACTTCCAGCACCGGAAGGGAGCACCCCAAAGTCCTTAGAACACCTCCAACAACCGCTCCTTTCACACCCCAGACCTCCTAAACCCAACCTGAGAGAAAAAGCCCTACCACCCATGCTCCCCGACCCAAAAGCTCGGCCCCCAGGTTTCCGGGGGAGGAGTGACCACGTGGTTGTCGTTAATAACAACCTAGCACTACTCCCGCCCTCTAGCTAAACTTCGCGAGCGACAATCGACTACACCAATGGATCCTTAGAGGTAGTCTGAGCGACAGCCAAAATAACCAATTAACGCGTGAAAATTGCGGATTTAAGGCGGGACTCAGTACGGAAGCTGCCCATGGACAGAAGGAAAGGCGAGAGGGAAAAAACCCGGTGAAGGGGCAGAAGAGGCAGGTGAGAACCTGGAGGAGCTCAGTAGTCTGAAGCGCGGTGGGAAGAGACAGGATTCCAAGACAGAAAGGGTGCAGAAGCCTGCGAAAGAAAGCGACTGAGTTCTGTTCGGGGCGGAGGGAGGGAACGCATTTAAAGGGACCAAGGCCCAGGATAAGGTAGACATTTAAAGGGACAGGTGCCCCAAAGAGAAGAGAAATTTAAAGGTGCAGATGCCCAAGATAGAGCAGACACTAGAGGATCAGAGCCGACGGAAGTAAGACAAAGTTGTAGGTGCTCCGGAGAGCAGGACATTTTGAGACGACTAGGGGCAAGCTTATAAGACGCTTAAAGAGGTATGGGCTGGGGTCTGAGAACACGTTTTTTAAAGAGGCAGAGATAAAGTCACTTGTTAAGGGCCTGGTGAGGTCTTCCTCTGGGAAAGAACATGCACTCCTGCTCTCCACCATTGTCCTTTCTGGCTCCTCCAGGTTCCCTTGTTCCCGGACCCCCTGTTCCCAGACTATGGCCCCCAGTGCCCTGTAGACCTGGCGGGACCCCCCTGCTTGCGACCCCTATTTGGGGCTCTGGGTGGCTACTGGAGGGCCATGCAGAGGGGCAGAGAAGGCAGAACCATGGCATCTAGGGCCTCTGAACCTCCCCCAGGGCGCAGCGTGACAGCGGGCATCATCATTGTTGGAGATGAGATCCTCAAGGTGTGTGTGGGACAGAAGAGGGGGGAGGGTGCGGCGTTCTCCTGACCTTTTAAGAGCCTGCTCCACATTCTCTTGAGAGAGGGTGAATCGGGGTGGGAACCCCTTGCTGCAGTAGGGCCCTGGAGTGAGTCCAATATATTGGAGGAAAAGTGGCCCTCGTTCTGTCAGTTACTCTGTTGAAAAACTGGTAGCAAAATCCCTACAATTTGCCAAGCAGTACAATAGGGATAGGAAGGGCTTTACAGAAACGACAAGTTCATCATATTAAGGAGATACAGGTGCAAGTATTATTTAAGAGTTATGTCCAGCCTATTTGGAAAATGATCCAAGACATTCAGCAGAATGGATAAGCCAGACAGAAGGAAGAAGGTACTAGGAATGAGAAATCTGTAAATCAGGGAAGTCTTGTCCTACTAGAAGTCATTGTAGGCATCAAGTTTGTAATAGTAATATTGACCCCTATACTGAGTGTTCACTAGGGCCTGGCAATGTACTTATTATTATATCACTTAAGTGATTTGACTAATCCTTACAACAACTGCGTGAGGTTGGTACTTTTATTGTAAGTGTCAATAAAGTATGAGACTGAGGATCAGAGAGGTTGAGAAACTCACCCAAGGTTACACAGCCAGGAAGTGATAGATAGGGGATTCCAACCCAATTCTCTCTTACTCCAGGGTAACTCTTAACCACTAAACCCCCTGTGGAGAAGTAGGAGATTGGGAGGAAAGAATATTGGATAGAAACCATAGACGGCTTCAGATATTCTGCAAAGGAATTTGAACTTTATTCTGTATAGGATTGGAAACAATAAATGGCTTTTGAGCCCAAGAGTGATGCAATCACAGTGACACATTAGGAAGGTTATTCAGGAGGCACAGGGCAGAGCGCTGTGGCTGGAAGCTGGGAGCCTGGCCAGGGGGCTGTTGCCACTATCCTGGTGCCAAGGACCTGCTTGGTGGCAGTAGGGACAGAGGGAAGAGAGCAGATGGGGAGACATTACAGAAACAGAGTCGACACAGCCAGGGATATGGTGAAAATACCTGACAAGCACTTGGAGCTGGAGACTGAAACCATGCCGGCTGGTTAGAAAGTGGATGAGTTATCCACGTAGAATTGATAATCCATAGCACAGATGAGGTCAAAGTCAGAGTACAGAGGAAGCCCAAAGTGGGTCACATTATTCCTGACTCCATTCACATGGGTTTTCCCACTCTTCTGCCCAGTCCAGGCTTCTTGGCCACCTGGGTGGTGTCTCCTAAAGAGCAGAACGCCCCATCATTTGGGAGATGCAGCTATCACCCCTTCCCCCTTTGTCCTCCACCCCCACAGCATTGACACTCTTCTTCCCCATCCCCAATCTCCCAGGGACACACTCAGGACACCAACACCTACTTTCTGTGCCGGACACTGCGCTCCCTGGGGGTCCAGGTGTGCCGAGTCTCTGTTGTACCGGACGAGGTGGCCACCATTGCAGCTGAGGTCACCTCTTTCTCCAGCCGCTTCACCCACGTCCTCACGGCAGGGGGCATCGGCCCCACTCATGATGATGTGACCTTTGAGGCAGTAGCACAGGCCTTTGGGGATGAGCTCAAGCCACACCCTGAGCTGGAAGCCACCATCAAAGCCCTAGGAGGGAAGGGCTGGGAGAAGCTGTCCCTGGTGCCCACCTCTGCTCATCTGCATTACGGCACAGATCCTCATACTGGCCGCCCTTTCAAATTCCCTCTGGTCTCTGTCCGAAATGTCTACCTCTTCCCAGGAATTCCAGAGCTGCTGCGGCGGGTGCTAGAGGGGCTGAAGGGACTGTTCAGAAACACAGCTGTGCAGTTCCACTCACGGGAGCTGTTTGTGGCAGCAGATGAGGCCTCTATTGCCCCCATCCTGGCTGAAGCCCAAGCCCACTTTGGGCGCAGGATTGGCCTGGGTTCCTACCCTGACTGGGGCAGCAACTACTATCAGGTGAAGCTGACTCTGGACTCAGAGGAAGAAGGGCCCCTGGAGGAATGCTTGGCTTACCTGACAGCCAGTCTGCCCCAGGGATCTCTGGTTCCCTACATGCCCAACACTGTGGAGCAGGCCAGTGAGGCTGTATACCAACTCACCGAATCAGGTAAGGGCCTCCGGGTGGGGACAGCATGCATCAGGCCGCAGGTGCCACCCTGGGTCTCAGGAATGCAGGGGCCATTGGAGGCATCCCAAATATCCAGAAGAGGGTAGAACATAGCCACAGTTGATTCATTCGTTCTTCCAATAAATATTGATTGAGAACCTACTTTCAGCAGCACTGTGCTGGGTGTTAGGGATCTAGCTCAACAGGACAGATGTATGGCCTACTCTTCTGGACCACAGGAAAGGCAGACATTAAACAGGTAATCATGCATGAGTTGTCAGTGATGAGGGGAACCCTACAGCAGGAAGATCAGCCTGGATCTGGGGTCAGAGGAAGCTTCTCTGAGCAAGTGACATATAAACTTAGTGATAAGGAAGATCTGGTCAGACCAGGGGGGTGTGCAGGAGTCTGGACTTTATCCAGGAACACTTGGAAGATACTGAAGAGTTTTAAGCAAGGGCAGCGTGGTTCTACTGTCCTTTAATAGCCATACAGATCTATCTGATGCCCTCTCCCTTGCCTGCCTGGCAGAGTCTTCTCTGGGGGAAAAGGTAGCAGGTGCCCTGCAGACCATTGAGACTGCCCTGGCTCGGTACAGCCTCACCCAGCTGTGTGTCGGCTTCAATGGGGGCAAGGACTGCACTGCCCTCCTGCACCTCTTCCATGCAGCTGTGCAGAGGTGAGTCTATGGCCTGGAGGCAAGCCCCCAGACATACCTGATTGCCCCATCCTCTAGTTGCCCATCCTGGGAAGCAGGGAGGAAAGAGAGTGTCTGGGTGGGGTCTGAGAGGGAAGTAGCCATGGTGACCTTTCAGTTCAAGTCCCCCACATATTTACTGAGCGTCTGACACATGCCTGTCCCTGAGTGCACAGGGAGGTCATGGTCCTGTTGGGGAGGTGGGACAGACCTGAAGTGTGCTCCAGATTTGAGAGGTGAGATCAGAGTGGACTTTGGAAGTGGGTTCTGGTGGATGGGAAGGACAAGGAAAGGAAACAGGGGTTGGGTGTCCATCCCAGGAGCCAAAGAGAACAGTGTAAGCTCTCCGAAGGGCTTTCCTGCCCTTGCTGGCAAGCCACATATTCTTTACCCTCCCCAGGAAATATCCTGAAGCCCAAGAATCCATCCAGATCCTGTACGTCCGAGGTGTCTCCCCTTTCCCTGAGCTGGAGCAGTTTCTACAGGATACCATCAAGAGGTACGAGGGGCCAGGAGGTTTGGGCTCCAGGAGGGGCTTAGCCGGGCCCACTCCTGACCCTCACCCCCTCCTCCTTCCTCAGGTATAATCTGCAGGTGCTGGAGGCCGATGGTGACATGAAGCAGGCCCTGACTGAGCTGCAGGCACAGCACCCCCAGCTAGAGGCCGTCCTGATGGGCACCCGCCGCACCGACCCCTACTCCTGCAGCCTCTGCGCCTTCAGCCCCACCGACCCAGGCTGGCCATCGTTCATGCGCATCAACCCACTGCTGGTAATGGGGAAGAGGACTCATTACCTTCACATATCCAATCCAGTACACCTTGGCCTTCCTAGGTAGGAGAGATTGGAGCTTGGGGCTTGGATAAAGGGGCCCCATTATCCAACGGAGGCTGTGCTATTTGTTCATTTAGCCTTTGGACCAGTTCCTATTGAGCACTGACTCAATGGCAGGCATCACACTTTCCGCCATGGACAGAACAGTGGCTTAGACCTGTGCTGCCCAACATGGTAACCATTGACCATTTATACTCAATTCGTAATTCATGAAAACAAAATACAAATGACTAAAAACTATTTAATGGTATTCTTTTAAAGGGTGGATTTTATGACATGTGATTTATATCTCAATTTTTTTAATTAAATACAATTCAAAATTCAGTTCTTCAGTTGCACTAACCACATGTCAAGTGACCACCATGTTAGCACAGATACAGAACATTCCATTGTCTCTCAGAAAGTTCTGCCGGGAAGCTCTGGCTTACTCACGTTCCCCTCTGCCTGGAGCTTAGCCCAGGTCATGGGTGGATTGGGGATGGAGAAGGGACAAGGGGAAGGCCTTCTCTTTTGCACTGCTTGGCCTACACAAAGGAAGATATACCCTAGTGTCGACAGCAGACCTTCCCTCAGAGGCTGAGGCCGCAGAAGAGCCCTGGATGGGCACATTCCCAGAGGGGAGGAAATAGGTGTGGGAGAGGGGAGATTTTGTGACTCTTTTCCACCTCCCAGGATTGGACCTACAGAGACATCTGGGACTTTCTGCGCCAACTGTTTGTCCCATACTGTATCCTGTATGACCGAGGGTAAGGGTGTTGGGCAGGAGCAAATGGGCGTAGGCAGACATGAGGGTGCTGGGGTCGGGGAGATACCTTCCTGCACACTTACCCTCCATTCTCCGGGCTCCAGCTACACGTCACTGGGAAGTCAGGAGAACACTGTGCGAAACCCAGCCCTGAAGTACCTGAGTCCAGAAGGGCAACCCACCTACCGCCCAGCCTACCTACTTGAGAATGAAGACGAGGAGCGTAACTCCCGGACATGACCTCCAATCCCGGAGGGAAGGAAGGAGGCTGTCCCAGGGTGTGACCTGTCAATAAACTGTGCCTCTCACGTGCCTGTTGCTCTGGCTGTCTTCCTGCTCCATAGGATGGGAGAAGCACAAGTGGGCTAGGCCCTGCCAACTCTGAGCTGGGAGGGCTCACTCCGAGGGGCAGGCGGGTAGGGGAGGTGGGGTAGAACAGACTGGGAAGGAGCTCTTGATCCTGAATGCCAACCTCAGCAGGAGTCCACGAGAGGGCAGGAGCAGGGCCTACTGCCAACCACTATGGGCAGAGGCAACACAGGCAGGGCACCTGAGGTTTCAAGGCCCAGGCTGGAAGAAGAGAAGCTGAGCTGGCCTGACAGCAGAGAATGAAAGATGGAGCGGCCAGGCCCTCCTCATAACCCAACCCCTCTATCCCTGTCCATAGAGGCTGACTCAGCCCATTCTCAGCCCCAGAACCTTCCCTGTGCTAGACCCTGAGGCCTTTGTCCCCACAGTCATATGGTCTGAGGGGGGTGGGGACAATGTTGATAAAAGGCACTGGAGGCAACTCCCGCACCCTTCCTCATAGCTGCTGCCCACATGCAGCCCCGGACACAGCCCCTAGCCCAGGCCCTACCCTTCTCCTTTGGAGGGGCCCTGCGAGACATTGGGCTCCGGGCGCCTGTCATGAAGATGGGCACCGGGTGGGAGGGCCTGCAGCGGACCCTGAAGGAAGTCGCCTACATTCTCCTTTGCTGCTGGTGTATCAAGGAGCTGCTGGATTAATGGCAGCAGGGAACTGCCTCCTCCCCACCAGCCCCATGGCTGGCAACACTCAGGTGGGCAGGGTAGGGCAAACGAGGTATGGCTGCAGCTTCTGTGGCAGAGCCTGCCTCTCAGTTTCCCACTCTCTCCTTCAGAGCCCAGCCCAACCCCATCAAGACTCCTGGAGCCAGCTATGCTTGACCAAGGATAGGTCACAAATAATGAGTAAAGTGTAGATCTTGATGTGAGTATGTGCCATCTGTCAAATCTGCTTCATCTCTGGGCCTCTGTTCCTGGTCCCCACCTCTGGTGGACTGCTGGTTTGCAGGAGCTTGGCCTGCTGGCTAGGTCCCCAATAAGACTGCAACAGGACCTGGCACTCCAAGCCTGGCACAGCAAGCCCACCAGCCCAGATGGTTGATACCTAGTTAGTGTCAGCAATGGGCTGCCCCCTAATATCTCTGTATGAGAATCACTGAACTATATATACATAATAAATAGGCCCTGAGGCCCAAAGTTCAGTGTCCGAAGCAGAATCAGAAAGTCAGCTCCAGAGGATCTTGAAGGATCCAGAGGGAGGGAAGGAGGTTGTCCTGGGTAGAACTGAGACTGAAAGCCAGGTTTCCTGACTCACTGGTGCCTGAGTGGGAGGGTGGAGAGTAGAAACGCCAGGGTCCTCCCAACTTGTGGATAGGGAGGGGTCCAGCCTGGGTGAGGTCTTCTGTGAGGCCTGCAAGTTAGGGTGGGAACCCAAATAGAAGACCTGGTCTGGCCAGCTCCCTGCATCTGAGAATCTTGTGGGGAAGCCTGGGCTGATCCTAGTCCCCAGCTCACAGAAGAAATAAGGTCCTGTTCCTCTGGCTCACACACAAAGCTGCAAGAAAGGCACCTGTGGCCACACAAGTCCCTCAGGCTTATCACAGTGCACGCGACATGAACAGCCAGAATGAGCAGAACTGACTCTTCACTTCCCCTTGGCAGCCACCAACACATGCCTTCCCTGAATGACTCTCAGTGGTAGGTACACATCAGCCATTTATACCCTCTTGCTCATGTTTACTGACGTGTGTACTCACAGCCCCACACAACCTCAGAGCAGGCCATACGCTTGTTCAAAGTGTCCCTGGGATCTCTACCCAGCATTCCCTGGCCCTCTTGGGATCCACCTATTGCCCCCACCCTCCAGGAGCCCTAGCCTGGAGATGGTATTTGGGGCAATCCCCTGACTCCTAAGAACCAGCTCTTCTGCAGCCTTCTTCTCAGTTAACTCCTTTTTCTCTGATTTTTCTGTTTGAAAAAGTAATATATGCCTAGAGTAAACAATTTTGATACTAAAAAGTCTCCCTCCCACACCTATTCCCCAGTCCCCCAGCTGTCCTCCCTGCAGGTAACCATGGTTACCAGTTTCTTGGAGGCCATTCCAGAGATGGTGTATGTGTATAATGCATCTTCATTTATTTAGCAAATCTTATTGAGCATCTACTTTACACCAGTCTGGGTGATTGACATTCAGCAGTGAATAAAATAGGTCCTTGGACTCATGGAGCTTAAGTTCTGAAGACTGGAGACAGAAAATATAAACATTAAAAAATATGTATATAGGTGTTATTAGGTGATAGGTGCTGTGGACAAAAGAAAAATTCAAGCTGGGGATGACAGTCGGGGAAGGTCATGGAGGGCTTAGTAATAAGCCATGGTAAGAACGTGAGCTTTTTTGCTGAGTGAAATGAGGAACTACTACAGTGTTGAACGTGAACTGATTTTTTATTTAAAAGGCTCATGCTGGTTGCTGTGTTGAGAACAGACGTTAGGGGAGCAAGGTGGAATAGGAGAGACCTATTAGGAGGTAATGGGCCTAATCTAGACCAGACATGTTGGGGGCTCAGAGCAGGATTATGGCAATAGCATTGGTGACAAGCCACTAGAATCTGCATATACTTATTCTTCTAGTTGATAACATACTCAACACACTGTTCTTTACCTTGCCTTTTTCCCTTAACACACCTTGTATAGGATTCCACATCAGTACTTTTAGAACCTGCCCATTCTTTTTTATGGCAGCATAGTACTCTATAGCACTCCCACTCAAGATTATTTATCCCTGGCTGCTCTGCACCCCTCTTTAGGTAACTGCAAAATGCAGGTCACTGCTCTTGTCTGCCCTTCAGAGCACCCCCCATGCCCCAGAGCACAGCAGGGAGCAGGGGTAAGGTAAGGTCTTCAATCCAACCAGAGAGAGGTTAGTGGTAAGGTACACAGAATTCACCTTCCCATAGGAATCTGGGGCTCCTCCCTCCCGCCATAGCCTGCACCCTGCTTAGCCAGCTCCAGTCCTTTCCTGACTCAAGCTCTGGCCTTCTGCCTCCTTTTCCTTTTTAGGCTCCACTACCACCAAGCTGGGACAGTGCCTGAGAGTGGACCCTGGAGTCTGAGAGTTCTGAGCACCAGAACCTTTGCCAGTGGAGGGGATGTCTGGCAAAGACCACTGGGGAAGTAGTAGGTGAAGGAAGGCAGGGCCCTGGGCTGTGGCCTTTGGTGGAATGGGTGGCAGAGGGAGAGAAATAGAGACTGTCAGTGGCCCAAGGGGCACAACAAGACTAGAAAGAGAGCCCAGAAAATAGGCTGAGGCGAGGGATGAAGAGAACAACAAAACCTCACATGCCACTCTGAGAGAGCCCTTTTCACGCTACAGAGAGCTAGAGCCTTACAAAAGAGTCTGCTTCAGAAGTAGGCAGGACACGAGTAAGGGTAATTACCACATGTTAACATGAGAGAAACAGGCCCAGAGAGGTGAAGTAAACCATCCAGAGTCATACTCAGCACACTGCAGTAGGGTAATCATTCAGTGAACCCAGATTTTCCCATCTCAAATTCAGGGCTTCTCTCAATTAGCCTTACTTCCTCTTCCAAAGTGGAAGCTTAGGATGGTGGCCTATGGGGCCTGGGAGGCAGGGCCAAGAGCAAAGGTGCAGAGGGGACTACCATCCCATTCTGCACCCATTCCGTACTTGCCCACGTCCACATCAACCCTAACCTCCCCTTGTTCTTGGTTTCCCTGGCTCATTGGGGGCCCAGCTATGCCCTTTTCATGTAATCCACCCAGGCCAGGACCAGCTGGAAGGGAAAAAGATGCAGCAGCTCTGCTGCAATGTTCTCTTCCTAAGCACAGTTAGCTCGGGTTTTGCGTGTCCAAAACTACTCTCTCAGGAACCCATGGTGGGGTCAAGGGGTTGGGGGTGGCCGTAGAAAGGAGCAGAATGCCAAGATAGGGAGGGAAGGGTAAGACGTCTTCTACTCCTTGGCCCCTGGGGGCCGTCTAACGGCCACACGGAGTAGGGGAATGGGCAGGGTAAAACGGGGAAGGAGATAAGGCAGAGCTGCAAGTGGCCCCCAAGTACAACAGGAGGAGCAGGACCAGCCTCACATCGTGGATCCCTGCTGATGGCGTCGGATATAAGGCCTTTAATGGTGTGTGAAAGGCAGGTGGAGGAGAATGGTCAAGGCGAAGGGGTATGAGGAGCCGCGCGCAATAAACTGGATATTATGGTAATGTTCTGTAGAGAGTCCCAAGTTTTGCCATCAACACAGAGGCGGGTAGGAGGGGCTGTATAAAGCAGTGGTCTGACCAGTACCAGAGCGCAGACCCTCACGGCATCAGCTCTTATTTGCGTTCTTATTTGCATATTGTTTGCATATGAGTTATTTCCCCTTCAAAACCCAGAGGTCCACACCCCTTTTTCACTTACTCCCAGCTGAGACTTTTTACATCAAAGTGGTCGCGAGGGCGTATCCATTCTCCCGGCCATTTNGGGGGGGGGGGGGACCTGCGCCGCCTGGTGGCTGTCCGGAGGGAGTCTGAGGGCAGAGGGGTTCTGTTTCGCGTTCTCTGGGACGTGGAGTTTTGGAAAATGTTCCCCCGAGCTTCCTGAGGCTAAATTTATCTCCCCCGGCCCTGGGGGGCGCAGAGATCCCGTCGACGATTAGCGCTGCACGGCAGCCGGCTCCAGCCCAGAGGCCCGGAATAGGCGCCGAGTTATAAATAGTGCAGCCCGCAGGTGTGGGGGGAGTCGGCGGGAGGGGGGCAACCCTGGCAGCCACGGCCCCTTCAGGTGGGTTGGGCGGTCGCGGTGGGGGCGCCGGGGGGCGGCAGGCGGCGGGGCTGCGGTCTGAGCGCCCCCAGCGGTTTCCTGGGCGGCGGGTTTTTCGAGGGAAGCGGAGGCAGCCCGGGGAAGGGGGGGAGCGGGGAAGAGGTGGGCGTCTGGAGCAGGCTGATGCTCCGCTTCCAGCGCAGCCCCTCTACATTCCAAAACAGGCCCCCAGACCCACTCACCCAGGACCCCGCCCAGGCAGAGCCTTGTCTTTCTTCCCGCCAGAAGCCCTCTCTCCTCCAGCCTCTGCGAACATCTGACTCTACAGCTGCCCCTGGGCGCACGTGGCCCAGACAGTCCCCGCACCTGGCCGTCACTCAGAATCGCTGTCCCCAGCCCCAGGTATACGGTCCCCACTTAACAGGGGTTAACTCTCAGCCGGGGCTTTTATCCTTCTCATTGATCAAAAGCCTCACTCTGAGGGTATTTGCTTACCTCCTCCTACTTTCCTCCAAAAATTAAGGTCTATTTGGTCACCTGAAAATTTATGTCTGAACGTGCAGATCTGGGACGCTCCCCTATCCCCAAGAGGTCACTGCAGGCCCCACACCTGCCCCCCAGTTCCCAGTTCTGGTCCGGGCCTGGTGGCTGGCGGGGGTGACTGAAGGCCCCTGGGGCCCCGGCCTGGGTTTCGCGGGAGGGGGTGGGGCCCCAAGTCAGCGTTTCTTGGCCTCCGCTGTCTCAGTGGTTTCGGGTGGCAAGGACCCAGAGTTGGGGGATAGGTGGGAATTTCAAGTCGGGGTTACCCCCTCCGACTTCTGAGCAAAGGAGCTGTGTGGATGAGAAGGGGGTAGGTGGGGTGGGTCACTGAGGAACTAAGAAGAGGTCCCTGGAATGTGGAGACTCAAGTGGGGTGTGGCCTTCTTACCGCTGAAAGATCCAGGTTGGGTCCAGCAAGGCGCCGGACACGACCCGGAGAGATGGGGGACAGGGCGAGTCCGAAGCACCAGGCACCGTTCACTTATCCGTCCCTAAGGACTGGTGCCAAGATGCCCGTCCTTCTGTTGCCTCTGGAAGCTCTGGCTCTGCCTTCCCTGAGCCACTTTCCCGCCCCCCTTTTCCTCGGCCATGGCCCCCTCCTCCCTGAAGCAGCCCCCTCTCCATTTCACTAGTGCATCTGGCACTGCCGGCTGGCCCCTGGTACGGCCCCTACCCAGGCTAAGAGCGACCCGACGGCTGGAGAAGGGAGGGAAAAACTCCGGCCTGGACCCCACCGACCCCGGGCCCTCACGAACCAGAATCTGTCCAACAGAGCCAAGAAGAAAACCCGGAGCAGTGACCAGCCCCGGGACCCAAGGGGGACAGGGACGATAGGAAAACCCGGAGCGGATTACCCGAGCGACAGCGCCCCATGTCTGCTATTCCCTCCTTCCATAACCACCCTAATTCTCCAGTGAGATAATGTCTGGGGTCGGGGGCTGTTTGGTTTGGCCTGGGCCCTAAGGGGCGCCTCACACTTTCCGCCCCTGGCTGGGGCGCAGGGCAGCGGCCCCGAGGCTGAGTCACGGCGGGAGAGAGAGGGAGGGAGGGGCCGGGAGTCCGCCCCTCCCTCTGCGCTGGGATCCCGGGTCAGCCCGGGTGAGGGCCAGGGCCCCCCTGGCGCCGCCCATTGTGGTCCAACAGGTTGAGCTGGTGTCCCGCGGAGCCACCTGCTGGAAAAGGAGGGCGGCCCCCTGCGGTGGGGGTTGAGGAGGAGAAAGCGAGTCCGACCCGGTTCGGCCGGGCCGCGGGGAGCGGAACCTGGCCCGAGATAGCCGGATTTGATTCCGTTTTACACTAGTGGGAGGGGCTCTTTGGGGTTTGCAGCGCTGCAGGCCCTGTTGGAAGCGTCCCTCACAGACTACCCTCCACAGTTGGGGGGACACTGAAGTACGTATCCTGCCCCCCAACCTACACACACATGCTAAGGCACTCAGGTCCCCCTCTCCACGTAGCTCTCTGAGTGAATCGACGTCAAGAGGTCCCCACTTGCGGAGACTCAGTTTCTCCGCTTAGGGAACAGGCTAGAATGGAAGCGGGGAGCAAGAGCGTGAGCACGCCTCCCCCTCCCCCTTCGCGGAGCGGGCCCCTCCCCTTTGACAATGCCAAGGCCGCAGCGGGCACCGGCTGGAGCGCAGCGGCTGCTTGCCCAGCGAGACGTCCCCTCCCCGCAGGGCGCCGTCACGCGTGGGGACGGACGCAGGGTGACCACAGCCTCAACTCCCCCGCTCACTGAGGAGGGGTGGGGCGTAGGAGCTGACGGCCTGGTGGCTCCCTTCCCCCTACCTCCCGGGGCCCTGACCTGATTATAGCACCTCTCGGGACCCCCTTCCTTCAATCCCGTAAGTCCCCGTCTCACGTCCACCTAACCTATCTTTAGCCTCTCATACCCGTCCCTCCCGGGGTACTGGCCCTACAAAAGCCCTTTTGAGGGAGTGAGATCCCTAAGTGGGTGCTTAGTTTCCCTGCCTCTGCGGACACTGCCCCCTCCTCCTTCCCCTCCTCCAGGTTTCAGACCCGCCCCTCGGCTCCGCCCTCTCTCTGGCAGAACTCAAGGCGGGACCCACTTGGGATGGGCGGGTATTCAGGCCAATAGGCAGACAGGGCGGTGGAGTGTAGGGGGTGGGGCGGAGCAGTGGCGGAGGCTGGATGGGGGTCCGGGGCGGAGCTCGAGTTAAGGTGGACTGAGATAGATAGAGGCAAGAGAAAAGAGAGAGGAGAGGGAGAGAGGGCGGGGGTGAGGGAACGCGGCAGGTGAAGGGAAAAACAGAAAGAGAAGGAAAGAAGGAAGGAAAAAGAGGAGGGTGGGAAAGGCTCGGAAGGCAAAGTAAGAGCTTGGAGGAAGGGAGAGAAAAAAGAGGGAGGGACCCATCTGCGCCCTGCAGGGACTGGCTGGACCAAGGGGTTGAAGTTTATGTCCTTATTGGGCGGAGGGAGGGGGACCTGGGGGGGCGGGTGAAAAACCAGGAAGTGACAGAGGGTGTTGCTAAGGGTTGGGGGGGGGAGTTTGGGGGGTGGCAGGGGGCGGGGGGGAGGGAGGGGAGGGATGGGGGGAAAGCAAGCAGGAGGACAGGTGAGACAGCAGGACAGGTGAGGCGGGCCCCGAGGGGGGGGGTGGGAGCCAGGTGAATGTACGGTTCTTGGCAGCCGAGGGGGGGGAGGGCGGCAGGAGGAGGCAGAGGGCTGCGGAGGAGGAGCCCCCCAGCAGAGAGCAGAGAGCGACTGACCGCGGCCTTCTGACCAGGACCGGAGCAGGGCCCCAAGCCCCCGGGCCTGGCGGGGGACGCGCTTCTCCTCACACCCTGTGCCTCAGCAGCTCAAGCCAGCGGACCCAAAGACGGAGAGGTGAGTGCACCCCACTTTTGTCTCCCGGCTCGGGATCCCCCAGACCCAAGACTACTGCAGTGTCCTTCGTCCGTCCTGTAAGTGGG